CCAGAGCTGCTTGTCATACCAGCTAGGAAAAAGAAAGAGGATTTCTCCTTTGCTAGGAAAAAAATACATGTACTGCTAATTTATCAGACGGCCACTAACCAAAAGCTGACAGGAAAAGCTCACCAGGATCCAAGTTATTAACTATTCCTGCTCCCCGCCTGTGCCGTTAGGAAAAACCTCAAACCCTGCATAAACAGTCACGTCTTATCGCTTTGGGAAATTGTTTTAAAATAAGTAGCATTTATTGTAAGAAGATTTCCCATATACCCACGTGTTTTGAAACAGCAAACAGGCTGGGCAGTAGGAATAGTCTGGCCTTTCACCTCTGGAGAGCCAGTTTAAGTACACACTGTTCCACATGTGCAAGTGATTTTCAAGCTCCATTTAGTATCCTAGGCTGTTTCTATCTAAACTTTGCAGACAGTGGCCTCGTCCAGTACAGTTTATCATGACAGAGGCCAAGCTCTGAAATAGGACAGGCTGAAATGCCTTAAAATGCACACTCTGAAGAGGTTTTTTTTTGTTTCTGCTTCTATCAGTGTTGGTTCTAGTTCTGCAGCAGAGCACTCCCTGAGTTTACAGAAGGATGAATCAGTTTTAAGCATTTGCTGCTAAGAACTTATTTTTCAACTCTTCATCTGCCAAATTGTCAGGGAAACATTTTTTTTTCCATCAAAGCAGGTACATTCTGAGAAGGAAAATAGGAAACCAACCTCACAAAATATTCTGACGTGGGTTAGGAAGCTTGTCTTTCACTAACACCAGGGGAAAATGATGCCACACCACAGAGGTCCAAAGCCAGAGAGGTGGCAGGCCATGACGAATCTGTGTATCCTGCTACTACTCTGATGCCCAATCTGCACCCCCAAATCTCAAAAACTTGAGTGATATGAAGAAAGTTGGCACAGCTTCCTCCCCACCCCCAGTTCAGTTTTAACAAAAATAAAAAATAAAAGAGTGGTTGAACTCTTTCAGATTGCATCGGGTAGAAAGATAAAGTTTGGCACAAAAATCAAATTAAGTACTCATCTAAAGAGCAAGAGCCTGCTTCAAATATTATGTTTAGTCATAGTCCAAACCAGAAGACCATATCATGAGAAGGCTACTTTATATATAAATCCATAGCACAGCCACTAAATTCAGAGGATGTATATCAGTAGGTAAGAAAAGTTTTAACACCAGTGATCTTATAGTAAACAAAAGAAGACAAGTCTATTCAAAGCAATCATTTTCTTATACGGAAGCTTCAATGGCACACACAAAAAAAACCCCCCAAACTTAAGATCTCACACTGACACATATTTATAAAAAAACCAAAAAACAAAAGACAACATTTTCATAGCCAGAACTATTATGAAAGCCAAGATGATAAGCAGAGAAAGCTCTAGCTAGGTATGCAGTTTGAAATCTGTACTATCAGTAACTTCAAAGACCCATCTTACTAAGTTTCATATTGTTTCATTACAATGAATCTTTAATTTCAAGATTTGCTTATTTAGAAACTGCTCAGTATGTCTAGTAAAGCCTGTCCCGGGACAGAATTCAGATATGTAAGATGCTTTAAAATAAGAGAAGATGAGAAATTATGGGAATATACCTTTATTTCACTGACAGGAATATACTTTTATTAAGTGGATAAAAGGCTCTAGCTTCAATCCAGCTCAGCTGGTCATTGTAGTCTAGTATGAAAAAACAGAAGGGCTTTAGGGAGAATAAAGCAAAAATGGGTGAAAAACTTTCTTAAAAACAGTCCCTGAAAAGAAACCAGGAAACAGCCTTATGTCACAAGTATCAATTCAGTATTGCCTTTCAATTATTTTTTTTTTTGAGAAATACAGAAAATAAAAATAAGAGTGCATAAACTTAAAGCTCAACTCATGATACACCAATAAAGCAGGATCTTGCAATTGCTGACTGGCACAACAGCAGCTTGGAGAGAAACTCACCCTCTTATAAACCAGGCAGAAAAATAATCTTTGATCCAGAGCTCAGTCTCACATAAGCATACGACTTCCACTGAAATTAAGAGCTATCACTTGCCTTAAATCTGCCCTCCCCCTACATCTGTCCAACAAGATTAGAAGGGACAGGTGAGCTGATCTCAAAATACTAAAGACACATGAACAATATTTACAGACCCTTAAACAATCCCAAATTATTTTCCCCTATTAGGACTTTGGGGGGGGGAAGGGAGGGAGGGAAAGTAAGATATAAATGAGTAACTTATAGGAATTTGGAAGAAACCTCTCAAGTGAGCAAGTTATTATACAATTATAATTTTTGACACTGGAAACTCAGAGCCCGATAGAGAAAATCTTATATTTCTGAATCCTTTTCTACTGAAGTGCATTGAAGAAGAATTCACTATTTGAGATTGCCAGTACTCAATGAAACAGAAAATGCAAATTGCACATGAAGGAACACTTTAAATAAATACATCTAATATGCTATACATTCCCAGGTGCAAATCAAAAGACATTACAGGATTCACTAGGAAAAAAGGGGGGGAAAGGGTACCAAGCATGAGAGTGTTTCCACTCAAAACAGGTATCAGGGAGGAAAAGCAATGGTAAGAAAGCAAAGTGCTACTTAGTGATAAATTCTGACCTTGAACACCCAATGTAAACCAGCAGGAAGAACCACATAAAGCCTCAATACATTGAAGGTATTTATTGAGTCAACCTCAAAACATGTGAGACATCAGAGTATGGACATTACTCATAAGCAATGAGAGGTGTTTTTTTTTTTTTCCCTCAACTTCAAAACATACAAAATACGTGAGCTGCCAACACTGATATACCCCTGATCTAAGCACCTGCCCTGTCTTATTTCTTTAAACGCGCCTAATTTCCTTCACAACCCTAATGTAAGCTGTGCCCTCACAACCTTGTGACAGCTGTCACGCTCTTTGTGATAGATGTGTTTTTCTATTGTTTATTTGAAAAAGTTACCACTATTTATTTTATTCCGATCAGGGTGTGAAATACAGTCTAGCAATAGAGAAAGAAACAACCTGAGAAAGAAACAACCCAAAAAACAAACAACCAAACACCACCAAAACTCAATGTACTCTACTATATATACACATTAACAGCAGACACAGATAAAGACATTCAGTAAGTAAGAGGTGGAAGCCAATTTTATATTTAAACCTACAGATAAACAAATAACTCACACCAGAAATTCTATTAATGGTTTGAACTTGCATTTTATTCTTCCATCTCTCTTACTGCTCCTTCTTGTCCATCAGAGACTCTCCTAAGCAGGTTATAGCTTGTAAGAAAGGAAAATGCATGGAATGAAAACAGGTGGGTAAATCCTCAGCCATAAGGAGAAAAAAAAAAAAACAAAACAAAACAAAAAAACCCCATACAAAAAAGACCCCTCACACAATCAAGAAAAACCCAAAAAGACTAAACACAATACATCCGAAACTGAAACAAACAGAAAAAAGCGCACAAAGCACCACGAGCAAAACCACAAAATGCATAAAAACACCAAGCAGAAACTTTCCTCAAAGGCAGAACAACTATGCATATTGTTATTATACCGAAATATATATCCTCATCAGTTTTTATTCTTTTCAAGCTCTCACTACTTGCTGTTGACTCCTTTGTAGGGGGGAAAGAGCGAGGGGGCAGGAACCAAACACCAAAAGAAATCTCACCACATTCCCTGATGAGAGCTGCACATACCATCCTTGAATAGGCCAAACTTTGGACAAAGAGATGCTTACAGAACATGACCCGTGCACATACTAACTTTGCTAATATCACATATTAAGAGAAACTTGTAACGCCATGGTAAGAAAGTGGGTGAACGTGTACGCCATCACTGAACAATTCTCCAACTCCCTTTGAGCAAAACATAGGGCTAGAAAAGTCAGAAAAAAGCTGATCATGCAAGAAAACCAAAAGGAATGCAAATTATTTATTCAGTAACACCAACAATCTACAGAAGGTATCTGCAACTACCTTAAAAAAAGAGCTAAGATTTCTACAAAGAGGAGACAACATCAGCACTGCTTTTCTCTTCTCCAATTTGAGAAATATGCATTACATCAGTCCAGATTTTTCAAGCCATTAGAGATGGTCCATGCCACTGTCTCCAGTGACTGTAGCTGAAAAACTCAGCTGAACGGCTGGAAGGTCTATTTAGTGCAATAAACTATCGCATTCAAATAAAACAAGATCCTCGAATGATCTGGGTTGGAAGGGACCTTAAAGATTACCCAGTTCCAGCCTCCCTGCCCTGGGCAGGGACACCTCCCACCAGACCAGGTTGCTCAAAGCTCCATCCAGCCTGGTCTTAGACACCCTCAGGTGTGGGGGCAGCCACAGCTTCTCTGGGCAACCTGTTCCAGTGTCTCACCACTCTCACAACCAAGAATTTCTTCCTGAGATCTCATCTAAATCTCCTCTCTTTCAGTTTAAAACTATTACCCCTCATCCTATGGCTCCCCTCCCTGATCAGGAGTCCCTCCCCATCTCTCCTGGAGCCCCTTTAGGGACTGGAAGGGGCTCTAAGGTCTCCCCGGAGCCTTCTCTTCTCCAGGCTGAACCCCCCCAACTCTCTCAGCCTGTCCTCACAGCAGAGGGGCTCCAGCCCTCAGAGCACTTCCATGGCTTCCTCTGAACCCACTCCAACAGGTCCATGCACTTCCATGGCTTCCTCTGGACCCACTCCAACAGGTCCATGTCCTCCTTATGTTGGGTGTCCCAAAGCTGGGGGCAGCACTGCAGGGGGGGTCTCACTGGGGCAGAGCAGAGTGGGAGATGTAAAACAAGACCTTGGGAGGGAAACCTCCTTCTCAATATTCCTGTTTACACGAAACAGAACAGTGTGCAGAGTCAGAGCAGAGCACGGCGTAGCTGAAAGCACCAGCAACGTCATCAGGATGGTATCAAAGGAGCAAGAGGGCTGCTTTGGGACACCAGGAGGACACTGCGCCCCAAAGCTCTGCTGCCTGCTGGGCTGAAGCAGCAGATAAAGCTGTTGCATGTGTTGTAAACCTTCCAGCAATTCAGGCTTTCTGTGTCCGAGCCTGATACTCCCCTCGGTGGGTGGGGAAGCCCAGGGCCAGGCTGACGTCAGGCGGAGAGCGGGGATAAAGCCCCGTGCAGCAGCTGGGGGACCAGTGCCACTTCCCACAGGGGGACACAAGCTGGGCAGGTGCTCTGCTGCCGGCACCCTGCCTCCTCCAGCCCAGCCTCGGGGAAAAAAAGAGCAGTCACCGAGAAAAAACCCTCCAAAATGCCACAAAACGTTATCCTCCAAGGACCGGCGCCCTGGGGATTCAGGCTCTCGGGAGGAATAGATTTTAACCAACCCCTAATCATAACCAGGGTACGTACTCTTTCCTTTTCCTCTCTATTAATTGCGTTTATTAGTTGCTGCAGAGTTTTGCCCTTTTACTTTCCTCAGCGTTCAGAGCTGCAGAGGAGGCTGTGAGTAGCTCAGCCAGTAGCTGCTGGCCCCAAGGAGAGCCAGCTGAATCCTAACAGTTCTTACAACTTTTGCGGGACACATTTCTGGGCTTGTTTTTTTTTATTGGTCCAAGAGGCTTTAACAGCATTTCTACTTATTTCTTCTTAAATTGAATTTAAGTGCCTTGGCAGCGGGGGGGGGGGGGGGGGCCCAAAAAAAATTGGGTCGCAGCCAGGTATGCTGCTCACTGGCTGCCAGCCCGCAGGCATCTGCCTCAAAGGAGCAGGAGAGCTCAGCCCCGCAAGGTCCCGCTCTCAGTGCCAGGTCATCTAGTGCCACATCCCCCAGGAACGCGTTCCGCAGGGCCTCGAAGGACAACTGCCACCAAGACAGTAGTGTCAGATGGCACCATGCCCCACTGTTACCCAGGGGAGGGGGGGGGGGGGGGGGGGGGGGGGACCACAAAAAACTCTGGCACGATTTCCCCAGGCATTCAGATGAGAACATTTGGAGTTTGGAGCCTACTAAAGGGCCAGACCCCACTTTTATCATTCTCCTGACTGGCCCCTGGGATGGCGGGGGGAGGCGGCCCCTTGGCAGCAGCTCCTCCTGTCTGAAAGCTTGTGCTTTGCAAACTCCCTGCCAACTTCACCAGATTAATCTGACTCTCAGTTAGTTAAATTCTGATTATTGCCAGCAAAGGCAACAGCACCTTGTTCTACGCATGTAAAAGTTATCATTTTCATGAATGTTAAATGGGTGAATTATTAGAAAGTTATCCAGTCCTGAATATGAAGGAGATAGTTCTTCAGCATTTTTTTGCCTTATTTAGAAACAGACAATTTACCTTAACTCCCCTAATAAAGGGCAGGAATGCAAGCCTTCATTATTTGTTTGAATTGATTTTGAGCTATTAATTGCAATTTGTTTAAGAAACCAGTTACTGGATGAATGGAGCATATAAAGCACTGTCAGCTGCCCTGCATCCACAGGCACAGATCTACCCAAAAGACAGGACATGTATTTTGATAATTTGTCTGTTTTGAAAACTGTGTTCAATACACATCAGACTAGAATTAGTTCTACTTCTGCTGCTTTCCAGAACCCCAGACACACCGAGTGTGTGTTCCATGAGCCTCCAAATCATCTGTACTTTATTTTTTCCACTTTTTTTTTTTCTTTAAAAGCCCTGCACTATGACTCAATATACACACTATGCCTGGTATTACATAAACGTCAAGAGCCTTGAAGGATGGATACCACTGATGATGCCTTGCAATAAATATGCTTCTAAACAAGACTCTGTAGAAGGCTTAAGGACCAGCCTTTCACATTTATACTAGTAATAATTAATTCCACTTAATCACATCTTCCAGATTTGTACATGCATAAAATATTTCACTTATTTTAAACAGAAGTAAGCCAGAATGCTATTATTTGACAGTATGTAGTGTCATAAGAAATATTCATAGGATAATGAATATTTGTTATGAATGAATCATGACTATTAGAATATTCATTTTTCACAGCAAAAGTTTTGGAGGAACAGGAGACAAAAAACTATGAATAAAAAAAAGAAAAAAAGTCTCTGGATGTTTTGGGGCCTTCATTGCCTTTTATGGGCCTCCAAAAGAAAAATAGTTTCCATTATCTCTAATGAAAAATATTTTAGCAGTGTCTGGTTTGTATTTTCTTTGTGTTTAGATTAAGTGCAATGAAGTTTAAAACTGCAATAACAAAGGATGTTACTATAAATGTAACTTTCTAAAGAATAAACGACTTTGCAATTGACTCATACCTACCAAATGCCTCACAAGACACAAGCCATGGGTTTCCAGCATGTTACAGAAATGCTCAAAGTCACATTTCAAGTAGAACCATGAAATAACAGAGAGAGATATACAGAGCAAAAATGACATGTTTAAATTTACCTTGCTCAAATTAAAGAATATTAACGGTAAATTTGTTTAAAATTAGTATTGTTGTTGCTGCAGCTTACAATTAGAAGATTCCCTAAATAAGAATTCACACAGTAGTGAATATTTCTTAAGATTCATATGCCTTGCTTTTTGGGGCCCAGGTGTTCCTTTCATAGAAGGGATCACCAGCAGCCCATTCACATTTGGCTTAACTGTCCTGACAAAAAAACCCACAAACTTATTAGCCATTAAAAAAATAAATCAAGATTATTTTTAAACACATTCTGAATAAAATAATTGGACAGAGTTACATTTGGTTGGCTACAGTCCTTGTTCAACAAGAGAAAGCTTTTACCAGGACTTGTCAAGAGAGGCAGAAAACATAAGAGATCATCATCCACCTGTCTAAAGAACAGATGTCACCTCAAAAACCCATCTGCGATTTCCCAAGGCAGGCAATTCTCTCAACTGTTTCCAGCAAATGCTAAAAACCACAGATCATGATCAGTGAGAGGGTAGAAAGAACAAGAGGGGACTAAAAATAGGTATATTCAGATTCTATTAGGGTCAGAAACCACAAATTAACTGGAAATAGTGAAAGCATTTTTTTAAATCCTTGGAACTTTACATAGATGCAAGGAAAGCACATCAATGAATACGATCAAAAGCCCTAGTCTCAATGTAACTGAATAATTTCAGTTTATTCTGACCAAACGATAACATTTTGGGTTAGGTGTTTCAAATCCTAGAATTTAAGTCATATTGAATAAAATATTACAGAAACAATTAAAACTTGCAGAGGATGAAGGGAATGGTGAAGTATTATCGACTTGATTTAAGTTCTATTTTAATATAAACCTTTACAGATCACAATGCAAGTATTTATATTAACTCAATTTTATATTTAGCCACCTTGTCTGTGAACATTCATGACTCTTTTCAGAAAGCCTGAAATATTTACAAAGGAGTGCCATGATGAGCTTCACAAGTCTAGTGACAGATGCAGAGAGTGTTTTTTTACCAACGTTTCATAGGAGACTTTGCCCCTCGTGGATAAATACTTATCTAGTTTCTGACAACATCTGGATGCTCAACACATGTCCCTGTATTTACCCAAATCTGAGATACTGCGGGTACAGGAGCAACAGGCGGGTCATACAGGCACGTCCCAAAGAGCAAAGAAATTTTCCCAAAGAACTAGTAGAATCCACCTCATGAGGTAGGGGTGAGCAAGCAAGAAACACCACAGTCATATTAAGGCTCTAAGTGTTCACAATATACATTTAATGCATCACTAATAAGTTCCTCAAGAAACAGTATTGCTTGTATTACTGAGGTACCCACAATATCAACATTATACCCATAACATGGTGTGAAGGAGAGGATTATAGGAGGGCAGGTAGTTCTGCACCCCAGAAAGCCTGGGCAAGTAGATCAAGGCCCCATTAAGGTGTTAAGGCCCAAGAGACACATCCCAGAAGCCTGGCAATAACCAATTCAGCAAAGGAATAGGAAGTAGAGACTCCTGCCCTTTTCTTTCCTTGCTCCCACTAAATGAGGGCAACCCCATCCAAGCACACAGTGGTATCACTGCAGCTGGTGACAATATGTGATGAAAACCTAAGGGATGGTGCATTCGATGCATGGATTCGTTGTGATGTGCAAAAAGCATAATCTACCAAGTTATCTATATAACCAGTATATAAGAGTTATTCAAGCAGGCATACACTTGAGAGGGAGCCAAGAATGGCTGGTTTTGCCCATCTGGGGTATTAGAGCATCAACAGTCACACTCAAACACTAGGACTTCTGCTGCAGTTCATCATTCCACACGTACCCACAACGTGCTAAGGAAAATCAGCAGCCATTCCAGGTTGAATAGAGAAGCACAATCAAACCTCTACCCTGACAATCTTGGAGACTCCAGACTTAGAATTTATCAGCAACTTCCTTGATTCATACTCAGATTATTCAGGCACCTGAATGCTTTGCTAAGCACACAATACACAAGTCCATTCTTTTGGAGTCTGAGGGGGAAAAGCCTCCAGCTGGCCATGGGTCCCCATTTGATAACAGCACAGGCCACAGGTGCCTGACTTGATAATAGCACATTGCAGTGTGTTACAGTGACATCAAAAATAAGTTTACGTGCTGGAGTGCAGAAAAAAAAGCCCACAAAACAAAGTTCTTCGAGCATTCACACCCACCTAAGAGAGATGAACAGCTGGAAAGAGGAGAGAATTACTCTATTGGGCTGGGTTTTGCCGCTGTTTCAGTATTAATGCACATGGATCAGGGCTACTCTTATTCAAATGCAATGAGACTTAAAACTAAGCACTTTACAGAGTTCAGGGTCTGGATTAGACAGGAACAGAGAAAAATGTCATTTCAGTATTATTAGCTATTAGCACATTCATGATTACTTAGAGGTACAACTTGAGAGCCAGGCTGGCAGAAAACACACTAACTGCTGCATTTGTCCCTAAACATGGTAAGACTACAACTGACTTTTCTATATATCAACATTATCTATATATTAGCATAATTTTTTAACAGTTCAGTTCTGCTGTTGCCTGGAGTTGTAAGGAAAAAGCTTAACTGTTTGGTTTTTTTCTAAGCAAGTTACACAACAGCAGTTGAGATGGAAGATTCAAAGGCAACTACGGAAATCAGAGCGGAAACTATTTAATGCAGAAGCATGAAGATAATTCCCATCTAATTTGAAATTATAATGAATAGAACATTTATATGGTGAACTGAGAATAGAACTACAGAGTGTCTGGCAGAACAATCATATAGTTGTTTACAGGCTCAGTCCCTCTCCCTAGCCCAACAGGAAACAGGGAAGCACCGTGAAGTTTATTTTCTCTATCAATTTTCAGGTATGCATGGTGATTAAACAGTTACATTTTGGGTTTTTTTCAGATTACACCTGGAAGCAAGGCTTCAGCTGCCAACCTGTGCCCCGGTGATGTGATTATAGCTATTGATGGTCTAGGCACTGAGAACATGACACATAATGACGCCCAGGAGAGAATTAAAGCAGCTGCACACCAGCTTTGTTTGAAAATAGAGAGGTATGTGTGCCTACTTGTGAAAGAAGATACTACCTAAACAGCTGATCATAGAATCACAGAATGCTTTGGGTCAACTGATCATAGAATCATAGAATGATCTGGGTTGGAAGGGACCTTAAAGATCACCCAGTTCCACACAGTGGGACACCTCCCACCAAACCAGGTTGCTCCAAGCCCCATCCAGCCTGGCCTTGAACCCCTCCAGGGATGGGGCAGCCACAGCTTCTCTGGGCAACCTCACCAACCTCACCACCCTCACAGCAAAGAATTTGTGATTAAACAGTTACATTTTGGGTTTTTTTCAGATTACACCTGGAAGCAAGGCTTCAGCTGCCAACCTGTGCCCCGGTGATGTGATTATAGCTATTGATGGTCTAGGCACTGAGAACATGACACATAATGACGCCCAGGAGAGAATTAAAGCAGCTGCACACCAGCTTTGTTTGAAAATAGAGAGGTATGTATGCATACTTCTGAAAGAAGATACTACCTAAACAACTGATCATAGAATCATAGAATGATCTGGGTTGGAAGGGACCTTAAAGATCACCCAGTTCCACACAGTGGGACACCTCCCACCAAACCAGGTTGCTCCAAGCCCCATCCAGCCTGGCCTTGAACCCCTCCAGGGATGGGGCAGCCACAGCTTCTCTGGGCAACCTCACCAACCTCACCACCCTCACAGCAAAGAATTTCTTCCTGAGATCCCACCTAAATCTCCCCTCTTTCAGTTTAAAACTGTTACCCCTTATTCTGTCACTTCATGACCTTGTAACAAGTCCCTCTCCAGCTTTTGTATATATACGTACACATATATATTCATATTATACAGTACAACTATTATATAGCGTAGCTATTTTAAACACTTTTAAGAATTTCACAAAGCCTTTAAAATTATGAGCACTTAGACCTACCTCACCAGCTGCAGACCAAGCGAGACGAGGCTCCCCAGAACATGTCTCCGTGGGCAGAAGGACAATAATTTTCCTCAGGGTAGTCCCCAGCGTTTATTGAACCTACTGCCTCTGCCAACTCCACCAACTCTATGATCGCTGCCAGTGAACAAATGTTCACATGTGGGGAAAGAACAAACCCCCTGCTGTCACCTGCTCACTTCCCTCTCTGCTCTAACACTCCCAGGTGCTGCTTGTTGCCTCCTGTGATATCCTCCCAGTTAAGGAAAGCAACATCACAACAGGCTTTCGTAAGGGGTGAAAAAGGAGAAGGTTTAAAGCCAAACTCTTTGGTCACGATACTGTATTAACCCAAATCAGGATTCTCAAAGCAATGTTAAACCCAAGACAAACTAAAAATCTGTCTCTTACCTAAATTGCAGGAGTCTAGAAACTTCTTTGCATTCGCTTCTCTCAACTAAAACCACCAAAAAAACCAACATCTTCTCATCCCCTAATTTAGTTTGCTCAGCCTTTAACAAGACTCACCTGGTGCACTCCTCCAGCTGGCTGCAGGAGTCAGACACCTTTGGTTGACCCCAGGCCCTCAAGAAGGCAACAGCACTTTATTACAGTTGGCCACAATATTCCTTTCCAAGTATAGAAGGTTTGGGGTTTTTTTTTTAAAGGTGTATTGTCTAATTACTAAAGCAGATGCTACTGCTAAAAAATTCCTGCAGTTAATTGCGGGTTCTATTATAGATTGATAAATGTCATTTAGCAATTCTCTTAGGAAGTAATTTTCAAAATATATTAAGGGTAATTGTGCCTATGAAATATGCATATATTTTTAAAATGCCAAAGATTTGTATTTATATAAGAAAGAGTACCAGATTAATATTTAACATTAATATTACACTATTTTAAATTTAGCTGCTTAATTTTTGCATGTTTGCTATCTCTGTTTCAGTGATGGAAAGAATCACCTGTGCAGCTTCTGGTTACAATTGCTCATTACTCTGTGTACCTAGATTGCACTCCTCTTACACTGAAAAGCAGGTTCTGCATGGATACAGTGGTCATAAAAAAAAAAAAAAAAAAAAAATTTAAATTTTTTTTGTTTTAG